CATAAAACTGGGCAGGGGAATATTTTTATTGTATAATTATAAGTGTATAGGACGAATATATATGTATTTGCATGTGTATATACAATTTTCTCTCGCTTTATACAAACAGAAACACAATTTATACAATTATGTTGTATAAAGCGAGAGAGGCGAGCACAGAGGAAGAGAACGAGAAAGGGAGAGTGGCGAGCGAGAATTTGGAGGGAGAGAGGCGACTGACAAACGTTTGCTACGGGGCGCAATTAAATCAAACAGTAGCTACTCCATTTATTTTAGATTATAAGTTTGTCATTCTGCACAATTATCCCTAAAAAGAATTGTCCATTTGAAAATATATTTTGACAAGTTCTCCACAATCAATTTGAGGGGGTTAGGTTTTCATAGGCTAATTTTGCTACTTATGGACGACTGGGAATACCAATAAGATCTTTACAACTTTCTTTGTGATTGTTGGATTTTTAGCATTCACAATTACGAACAGTTGTCTGTTGGTAAAGTATATTACATAAATGGATACAATTTCCTAAATTACATGGAAAAATGGCTGTCACTCAAGAGAAAAGAGAACATATGTACATACAATCATCAATTATGCTACGAGACTGCCAAAAGTTGTGGTGTAGTGACATTAATCCTCCATCCTTACCTTACATAAGTTTCGAGTTCGAACTGTTAATTTAATTCTTATTGAGACTTAAATCCTGAATCTGACTCTGATTCAACTTTCGAGCCCTTCATAATAATATGTGTATTATGAATTTTCATGTAATACCAAAAAAGTCAAATATGCCATGAGATTGGGCCAATAAGGTAGAATAGATGGGATTTAAGAAGAATTTTCACATAGATTCATGTGCTATAAAGGTTTCGATATTTTTAGATTAAATCATAGTACTTGAGCATATATTTATTGGTTTACCAGTTAATTAAGAATATCAGGCCGTCTTAGCTCAGTGGTAGAGCGCGTGGCTTTTAACCACGTGGTCGTGGGTTCGATCCCCACAGACGGCGAATTAACAAGAAATTCATTTTTATTTCCTTATATGTTCATTGTTTGACCTTACATTTCAATTCCATGTTTTCAATTATTTTATAATCTCAATTTTTTACAACTTTTTGTCTAATATTTTAGTTCTTGATTTGAACTACTCAAAATTATTTCCTTTTAATTCAGATGCTATTGTTTATTATTTTCAATTGAAGCAAAAAGTGACGATCGAGAGAGGATTTAAGGACGAACTAAGTTTGAAAAAGTAATCTTCTATTTGCAACTCAAATCTTATCTCATTTGATTCAGTATTTAATTATGTTTTATTTGATTCAGTATTTTTTTATATCGCTTTCTTACGAAGAAAGAACATAGCACACTTTTTAAATGGGTTAATTTTCTTTTTATCATAATGTAAATTCTATATAAATCAGTACTAAAAAAGTATTGTGATGAGGTCATATATTAGTAATCATTTAAACGTTGAATATAACTTTATATTTTAAAAGCATGTCTACTTGTGAACTTTGCATTTATTTTGACGTAGTGTTGATTTAAAATCTCCATTCATCTATATCTAATTGGGTTTTCCTCCCAAACTTCATCAGCTCTCTCTCTTTTTTCTTAGTTTCAAACATTATAGTAAATAATACTATAATATATAGTGGCCGAACTAGAAAAATTCAAAATATATTAAAAAATACAAATAGAAAATATCAAGAAGATTTAATATCTTATAAATAATTTTAACATTATACAAGAAGATTCAACTTCCACTTTTCTTTCTCTACATAGTTAAGTTAATGGATGTAGAAAGCTTAGCAATGAGTAATGTTTGAATGTTGTAACTTTTACTCTTCTTTTTTGGGGGTTCGAACCCCAATTATTGAGGTAAAGTTGTGGACAACTCTCCAACTGATCTACACCTCTTGTCAACAAATTAAATTATTAAGCCCTCTACCAATACATTTATATTAATATCCTTCATTAAGTTTCAAACATTTTACAGATTTTTCACTTGTTGTTCGATGTAGATAGTAAGCTAGCATTTAACCATAGATTTCCAAATATTTTTGGCAAATATTATTTGAGTGAAAATTTGGGTGAAATTTCACCATGTGTTTGGCCATAGTATTTGGGAAACATATTTGACCTTTTAGAAAAATGTGATTTATATCCATAAGTTTTAAAAACTATCAAAACTAACCATAAGTTTGTATTACAAGTCAATGGATCTTCGTTGCAACAAATAACAAGTAGTGTCCATGACACTGAAGCAATGTGGTAGTTTGGAGTGAGTGCAACAAGCATTATTCCATACATCTAGACAAAGCACGTGACTTTGTTACCCTGGGTCAATTGTTCATCATTTTCATCAACAACCATATCATCACTTTCATATTCACTGAATATTCATCACTACTTTGGTGTTCACGGAAAAATAATACAACGCAAACAATTACTATAAAGGGTGTTTTTGTAAAAGATAAAAGTTTGGTGTAAAATTTTAATTTTTAAAAGATCCCAAATAATGAGATTTGGCCCAAATACTAGAAAAAACTAGTATTTGGGAATTTGGGATATTTGCCAAAAATATTTGTCAAATAATGACAAATTGTATGGACAAACACTATTTGCCAAATTTCCCCCCAAATATTACTTGGGAAATCTATGGCCAAACGGGCCCTAAGACTCAACTAAATCCAAATTCACGTCAGGAAACCTCACAGTGAAGGTAAAGTGATTCCTAACAAAGATGATTTCAAACTCATAACTCAAATTTCAGACTTGTAGTTAAGAATGAATGAGTACTTGTTGTACTTTGCTTGTAACTATTTTTTATTCCTTTAGTTTCAAACTTTACAAAAAGGAAAAATGTACTTAATTCGAGTTAAGGGTCTATCGAAAATAACCTCTCTATCTTATAAAGGTAAGAGTAATGTTTGTGTATCATACACGGCACTCTACATACCCCCCACTGTTTTGACTACACCAAATATCAAATATGTTATTGTTTCACTTTTCTTTCTCCACATAGTTAAGTTAATGGATCTATAGGAAAGGTCCATCCAACTCCATTACATTAAAAGAATTGAAACTTAGAAAGCTTAGTAATGAAATGTTTGAATCTTCAACTTTAATTACTTTCTCTTATGGCTAAGAGATTACTTGTCAACAAATTATGCCATCTCCCCTCCTTCCTAAAGTTGGAATTTACTTTTACTTTATGCCTACATTTGCCCTAATAATTCCTAAAGTGGAAGTTCACTTTATTGT